AGCTATACAGAAATACTCGTAGATAAAAATGAAGTATGTGACGTAGGAAGGCTATCGCCGCGTCTGTCAATTGGTTCCTGAGGAAAAGGACATTGAAAAATCAGAGCAAAAACCTCTGAAGACAATGAAAAAGGAGAAGATGTCAATTACTGTTGAATCAAAGAATAAACCACAATCAAAGCGACATCCTCCTTAGACAATGAAAAAAGAGAAGATGTCAATTCCTGTTGAATCAAAGGATAAAAGATAATCAAAGTGACAATCTCCTGAGGCAATGAAGTATGTGAAGAAGGAAGGCTATCGCCGCCTCTGTAAATTAGTTCATGTTGAATCAAAGGATAAAAAAGAGTCTAAACGACAACCTCCTGGGACAATGAAAAAGGAGAAAAGAGATCTTAGTAGTGTGGTTATTAACAACATTCTCCGGGAATTAGAACTGTATCTTCACCAATGCTTTGATATGGAGTGGCTTTGCTCGCTTCATACTCAGGGTAGACGTAGGATATTAGGCGTTGATATGGGTCTCGGGAAGACGGGACAGATTTGCGGCTTCTTAGCCGGATTATACAATTCAGGGCTTATCGAGAGGATTTTGATGGTTGCTCCAGCAACTTTGATGAACCAATGGGCTGACGAGTTCAGAGATGTGTATTATGTTTCAGTAGAGAAATATTTTCGTCAAAGGCTAGCTATCCTGGATGATATTCTTCAACAAGTTCTTCAGGGCAAAGGCTTTCTTCTCATAACCTACAATCTTTTAAGAATTTATGTAAAGTCTTTTTGTCATGGTCGGTGGGATTATATGATTCTTGATGAGGGGCATTGCATAAAGAATCCCAATGCACTGGTGGCTGAAAGTGTGCGTAAGATTGATTGTGATCATTGTAATTGGCACACCCATTCAAAACAACCTTGAGGAAATATGGGCTTTATTCAACTTCTGCTACCCTAAGCTGCTGAGTGACAAAAACTGGTTTAAGAAGATTTATAAGGATCCCATTCTTCATGGAAGTGATGAAAATGCTTCTACCAGAGTAAAGCATTGGAGCTCAGAAACTGCAAAGAAACTTAGGCAAAAGATTGAACCATATCTTCTGCGACGTTTGAAGAAGTATTTCCTGATGGAAGTCTGAAGAAAAATGAGATTACTGTGTGGCTTAAAATTGACGAAATCTCAGCGGGAACTCTACACAGATTTCTTGAAGGGGAAGATTGCCCACTCAGACTGAACATTACCAGTTTCAAAAAAGAAAAAAAGGGCCCTCTCAGACAACCCTTTGGCTAAACTTTCTTGAAGAAAATATGTGTTCACCCCCAGTTAGTAGAACTTCGATTCTGTGATACATGAAGATTCTTTCAAGATAACATTTATACCGGGTTTATTGGGTCATTTGATTCGCCGTGGGTATCATGTGCTTATCTTTGCTCTAACTTGCCAGATGCTTAATCTAATCCTAGACGCTTTACAAATCAGAGACTTGCAGTTCATTAGGATGGATGGAAACACCAAACGTGTTGACAGGNACACCAAAAGTGTTGACAGGCTGGGCAAAAGTGTTGGGAAATAGTGGAGGTTAGGTCAAAAGATTTGTCTTTACAGTAAAATTCTCTATAATTTAGGTAATAGTTATATTAAAGGAGGCTTGATGCAAAGAGATCTTTCCTCTACTATGCTCTTTGTGTTCGTTAGGTGTGTTCATGGTTCGGTTTGGATCGGTTTTTCCCTAGAAAGAAACCAAACCAAATAAGTCGGTTCTTCAAATATTGGAACCAAACCAAACCAATTAAGTCGGTTGTTTATCGATTCGGTTTTTGTCAGTTTTTCGGTTTTTTCGGTTATTTATCGGTTTTTTTCTTAAATATGAGACATATACTACCGAACACATATTCCGGAGACTACATTTTCAACGTAACACTATCAAACCAATTGCTCTTTGAGAAATTTATCATTTACCAAGATATTTTGATGATAATTGAATCAAATAATGATGAATAATTTAAGTACTCAACTAAAAATCGATTATTTTTAACATGAAATAAATTCTTGTACTTAGCAAAAGATAACTACCAATCAAACTAGAATATGCAAATGCAAAGAATTAGACTATTATAATAGCAATNGCATCTACAGCAGAAGAAGCATCAACAATATTAGCATAATAATTATATAATGTTTCTAAATGTTTGTGTAGATCAGAAATACAAGTGTCAATATCAGGAGTTTCAGTTGGTCCGATATTCATATAAGAATATAAAGCAGTGATTAATTGGCGACAAGTAGCCATTTTGATAGAAGGGTTTAAAATAGCACCAATTATGTAAATAAGGGGAATTGGGTAAAAATATTTTTTAAACTTATCTAGCATAGATTCAACAACAGAAGTATATCCTTCTATCTTCTTCAAATTATGTAGTAAAAGAGAAATTTTAGCAATATGAACTAAACCATTTACAATAGTAGGATAATAAGCTCCAGAAAACTCAAGTGTAGCCACATAAAATTTTTGTAAAAACTTTACAACATCTTCAATGACATCCCAAGTTCTAGATGTTAACAAACGGCTAGGATCGGTACAATGAGAATTAACAACTTCAGTTATAGGCATTCTATATTTATAACAACATTTTAAGAATAAATAAGTATAATTCTACCTAGTAACTATTTCTTTAGGCATGAGTCTTGGTTTTAGTCCCTAGTGTCACATTTTTCTTTTTAGCATTTAATCTATCACTTCTATTATTTCCTTGAATTACACCAACAGCTCTTCTAACTAAAGTGATATCATTTCTAAATAATTCAAGGCCACTCTTCACAATCAAATTATAAATATGACATGCACATCTAACATGAAATATTTCAGGAAGTGGTGGGTGTCGATGCAATTTTAATATTGTAATAGCAGCATTGTTGTTAGAAGCATTATCAAATGACACACACAAAACTTTTTCTGCAAGATTATAAAACATAGCAACTTCATGGATAGTATTACTTATAAATGCACCAGTATGACTTTGATCTTCATCATATTTAAAAGCAATAATACGTTTTTGCATACAAAAATTACCATTTATCCAATGGCATGTAACAGTCAAATAATCATTACCATTTACAGCACGACCAATATCAGAAGTAAGAGAAATTCTACAAGAAAGACTGGCGAACAAATAACGTATATATGT